CAAACTAATCAGCAGAAAAAAGAAAGCAAAAAAGAAAAAAACAAAAATAAAAAAAGAGAAAAAAAGAATCGGTGGAGGACAGGGCAGGGCATCCAGCTCCGTCTGAGCACACAGACTGTGATGGAGTTCCTGTGGGCCTAGAAGGTAGTTGGGAGTGAGGGATGGCTGTACCTCCATTCACCAAGCTGGTGTGGGGTATAAGAGTAACAAGAGCAATGATGTACCTTTTCAGTCTTGCAGGTCCTGAGTGTCCTTGGGGTTCCTGGAAAGCAGAATGTGTTTTAAGGCCCAGGAATCTGTGGGAGCACTTTATCTTTAAATATCCAAAATAGTCAAGGTGCTTTTTAAACCTTCAAAATGGCGGCACCCTCCAGACCAGCAAAAGTCCACAGCTCAGCCCACCTTTCTCTTCACCTTCTATATTTGTTCCCCAGCCACCGTGCACAGTCCTCCGTGCAGTTTCTGGCTAGCAGGTTGATTTTTAGGTTAATTCTTAGGACCTACCACCACTCGGGAATCTCCAAGCTGTCTGTGCCCTGCGGTCAGGATCGTTGCCAAACTGCAGCTCTGCCTGTCTCCTTTTTTGGTATTTTCACGCAAATTCTTCTGCTAGTTGGGGTTTAGTCCACTTCTATATCCTTCCCTTCAAGGCTCAGGGGTCCAGGATTATCTTTTGTGTCTGTGTTAATTGGTTTCCCTTTTCTTTGTTGAAGAGGGTCTGTGCAGTCTTTCTGCCTAGTCCGTCATCTTGCTGGATCCCCTTCTTCCAGTTTCTCTTTTATATATTGGCAGAAGCTAGTAATTACTGAGCTTTGATATATGGAAATAGAGCATGATTCTTTGGCATGTGTGGTGGTTAAGTTTGTCAACTTGGCTGGGCCTGGTTGATTGGCTGGGCAGCTGAATGTAGTTATTTCCCATGGTGAGATTGGTAATCAACTCCATGGTGGAATCTATCAGAGTGGCTGAGTAGCTGCTTTGGGTATGTGGTCTGCCTCCTGTGAAGAAACAGCTTTGGCAATGGTCTCTAGTTGATGGCATGCTTGAACCCTGCTTGTAGTTGTGTCAGTTGTTCAGCAGCCTGCTATGCTCTGCTGATCTTGGGACTTTTAATGGACTTGAATTAATGGCCTGCCAGGTGGTTTAGTAATACCTGGGCTGTGCCTTGTTACTTGTCGACCTTGAGTTTGTCAGCTTCAGCAGCCAGCAGCTGAGTGAAGAAAAAGCCTCCAGCTTCAGTGGGCTGGGAGCAGAAGGCATAGTTAAAGCCTAAGGCTGAGGGGCTTTCACCCAGCCCCTAGAGCCTGGCACTTTGAACTCGGACTTAAAGCCTCCACATTGTAAGAATAAACTCCTGCTTGTTAAAGCTATCCCATCTGTGGTATATTCCTTTCAGAGTGGCACTAGGTAACCAAAACAGCATCCATTGAAATAATACTTTTACTTGCCTATGAAAGTATTTGCTTCATCTGTATAGTTTGTGAAACGGATGAGTGACTTGTCTATAAGATTGTTGACTTAAAGAACTTGTCAGGAGTGTTATTTTAATATGTGGACTATGGATTTGTTTTCAGGGCTAATTAAATAATAGAGATATTCCCATATGCAAATTTTACGACATCTCAAAATAGATCAAAATCCAAAGACATGCATTTTTTAAAAGAAGCATTTAGAATGTGACAGTTTTGGAAAATGTGGTTTGTAGATCACAGTGAAAGACACATGAGTATGTTGTACTTTTCTTGAAGTATCCTATAGCTTCTTGTTCTTTGTTTGATTTCAGTTTCTCCTGTAGGTTTTAATTATTTTTTTTTTTTCACTTTGAAGTCATATTCTCCTCACTCTGGGTTATTTTATTTAGAAGTGTTGTTTAATTTTGAGTTGTCTGTCAACTATTTCAAGGAGCTCTGGTTGCATAGTGCCTCAGATATTTGACTCCTAACCAGAAGGCTGGCAGTTCAAACCCACCAGCCACTCCATGGAAGGAAGACTGGGCAATCTACTTTATGGGCAGTCTACTTCTGTAAAGATTTATCACCTTGGAAATCCAAAGGGGATCACTATGAGTGAGAGTTGATTCTCTGGCAGTGAGTTTGGGGTTTTTTTTGTCAACTATTTCATACTTTACTACATTAGTAAAAAGGGTTTTCTCATTTAAATGAGTCCAATTTCAGATTATCATTTAAAGAATTGAAAGTCACAACAACCCTACTGGTACAAAAGAATCTATTTTCAGAAATGAAAATCTGTCACATGGTCATTTTTGATATGTGTCTGGTTATTTTTAATTGGCATTTTGTTTGATTATACATCACATATTTGAAAATACCAATTTTAAGATTATCATGTAAATCATACGTTTTTAAGAATAAACCAATTTCTTGGGGTCCTTTTTGTTTGTTTTTTAGAATTCTATGACTGCGCTTATTGTAGCAGTAAAAGGAGGCTATACACAGTCAGTAAAAGAAATTTTGAAGAGGAATCCAAATGTAAATTTAACAGATAAGGATGGAAATACAGCTTTGATGATTGCATCAAAGGAGGGACATACCGAGATTGTACAGGATCTACTCGATGCTGGAACATACGTGAACATACCTGATAGGGTAAGTTATGTATTTAAAATTTGTCTTCTAATGGTAAATTCATGGACGATTACCTTAACTTCTTACCAACTTCTAAGATTCTGATATAGTTGTTTTAAGATAACATTTTAAGTTTTAAGATAGCAGCTGATTTGCAGTTTAGCAATAAATGGCAAAATATTTGTGCTCTTTGCCAAAATAGCCATTTCCAGAATTTGAAGTAGTGGGAAGATTGTTGTTTGGTAAATAAAATTTCAGGGCCAAGAGATGTCTTCATGAAGTAATGAACTTTATTTTAGCCTTGTACCAGGGAACGAATCAATCTTATATATTACAACCTTATAACTGCTAATTTGACTAGAATGTACATGGTTCTAGGAACCAACCTTCTTCCTTCATTGTAGTTGTAGACCCACTGATTGCTTTTGAGTCTGTCCCCAGCTCATGGTACACATGTACACAACAGAATGAAATGCTGCCTGGTCCTGTACCGTTCCCATGACAATTGTGGATAAGACTGTTGTGATCCACAGGATTTTCACAGACTGATTTTCCGAAGTAGATCACCAGGCTGTTATTCCTGGTTCATTTTAGTCTGGAAGTTCACTGAAATCGTTCAGCATTGCTGAAACATGCAAGCCTCCTCTGAGATATTGATGGTGGGTAGGCATGAGGTGCAGAGAATGGGATTCTAAACTGGTTCCTACTTCATGGAAGGCAAGAATTCTACTACTGACCCTCCACTGCTCTTAGCTCTAGCTTTGCAACTCACTTTTTTAGAATTTGTGGGTTTTTTTGTATATCATTATTCCACTAGAAACTCTGGTAGCGTAGTGCCTAAGGCACTTGACCGCTAACCAGAAGGCTGGTGCTTCAAACCCACCAGCCACTCATCGGGAGGAAGATTGGGCAATCTACTTCCATAGTGATACTGCCTCAGAAACCCAATGAGGGGTTGCTATGAGTCAGGTCTGACTTGACGGCACGTAACAACAACAACAACATCATTATTCTTAGAGACTTTTATTATGTGATTTCTAAATATTCAACTTATTTATTGACAGCTACAGTATTGATAGGAGCTCTGGTAGTGTAGTGCCTAAGGCACTTGACTGCTAACCAGGAGGCTGGCAGTTCAAACCCACCAGCCACTCCTTGGAAGGAAGATTGGGCAATCTACTTACGTAGTGATACCGCCTCGGAAGCCCAAGGAGTGGTCGCAAAAACAACAACAACACAGTATTGATTTATTTAATTGACATTTGTTGTGAGAGGTTACATTCAAAGGGAATGCTTATTCTGGGTGATTTGTCATTCTGAACTTTTGTCATGGAGTTTCGGAGCCCTCATTTTGAGGCATAAAATCTTCTGTTCCTTATTCTGAGGGTTAGTAATATAATAACATTAGTTAATTAAATTTTCTCTCTAATTTTGAGATAGAGACTTTTTCAAGTGGGTTTCAGGAAAAAATATAAAACTAACCTTAAATTTAAAACAGCGTTTATTCTTTCTCATCATTAATTCACCTTGTTTTCTGTGTTTTGGTTTTTTAGAGTGGGGATACTGTGTTGATCGGTGCTGTCAGAGGTGGTCATGTCGAAATTGTTAGAGCACTTCTACAAAAATATGCTGATATAGACATTAGAGGACAGGTATGTGTGATTACAGTGCTGTTGTTATCTTTGAGTATAATTAGTTTTGAATGTTGACAAATCATGATGTTGCTCTTCAAGCTTTACTCTGGAGATAAACTTTTAAGCCCTTATTTAATTGATGCCTATATTGTCATTAAGTTTCATTGCTTTTGCTTCAAATTTTTGTGCTAATGCCATGTTAGATTTAGGTAGAAATAAACCATGTTAATTTTAGGAAAAAAATCCTTCCCAAAGTTGTGAAGCTAGATAGGATTTTAAAGGATCTGATCAAGACCAAGTATTATGGGAAGGCTGGTAAGATGGAGTCCTATTAACAGACCACATGCTAGATCACTTTATCAACAGAGATTTTAAGAAACTCAGTAAAACAGATGCAAATAATGATACTGGAGTTATGAACAGCTAATGAGAAGATAAAGTATTAGATCCAGTGTAGGCGGTGAAAGGGAACAAGTTAAACGACTGGGAAATATTAAAAAACTTGCCCATCTGGTGGAACTGAAGAGAAGTCATTAGAAATACAAAGGAGGTTGAGAAGAAGGAAAGAAAAATAACTGGAACCTACAGACATTAAAGACTCAAAATAGTCACACAGGGAGTATTTTAAGGTGAGCTGGGGCAGCGAGTTGGGACAGAGATCATACTGGGAAATGCTACAGGACCTCCATAGCTTAAGCTGCCATAGAATCTGAAAGAGAGTTGGGGAAACTTTCTCCGAATAAACAGAACTCTAAATCCAACATATGGCAATGGGTTTGAGTCTAACTCTTAGCAACACTTTTTAGCACAGAGTGAATGAGACCTGGGGTTTTGTGATGTATGGATTTGCACAGAGGAGGGTGGCCCTTTGTCTTTTGGGGCGGCTGGCAGATTTGAACAGCAGAACTTTGATTGATGTCTGGGCGCCATCCTTGACACACTGCTCCAGACAAAGCCATGGGCTGCAGCTGTCCTTTCTGTGCCTGCATCACTGACCCAGTATTCTCACACTAAGCACAGAAAATAGCCTCTGGCTTTCTCCCCTGGGGATTGCATCTTGTGCTGATCTCCTTTCTCCTGCGCTGATTCATTGAGTGGATTCTGCCATAGTAGCCAGTTCCCAGGGCCACTGGCTGTACATAACTGGAGAGACCTCTACTCAGATACCTTATCTTCCATTCATTTTTCTACTATCCTCTTGCCCAATGTTTCTTCTTTCCTATCTGGTCACGTGCTCCATTGCCGTCTTGCTTTTTTTATTTCGTTTTTGCCAAATCATCACCTCTCTCACCTGCCCATTTTTGTTTTTTCTCTTTTTCTTATATTCTTTTTTCTTTTTCCTTGTTTCTTGTCAGCTATTTCTGTTCTATCTTTTCATCTCTCCTTCTCTCTGGCTTTTTTTTTAATTTCTTTTTTTCTCTTGGCCTCGTCCAATGGTACGAACATATAAACCCTCCACTAGTCAGCCGTAGCTACTACACTGACCACCTCACCCAACAGACAAGTAACACCTAGCTCCTGCACTGCAGGATCAGCAATAGATAGTGGACAACACCTGTTCATCCCAACTGTAAATCCTTTTCACGACAAATGGAGACCTGCATTTACATCCCCACCAGTGATTCTACCAACACAGAGAAAGCTGGAGAGCAACCCAGTACAGCTGAGGTAACAACCAGAGAAGTATGTCTGCTACACCCTTCCAGCTATAATAAAACAAAACCAGGTGAAACAAGTCAGTGCATAACTAACAAATAAAGGCAACAACTTCAAAATGTCTAGGAAACAACATACAATTTTAAATCAAACAAACAAACAGGACAAGATAGTAGAAACAAGCTAAAGAATCAGGAAATCTCTCTGAGGAAGAATAAGCAATAGAACAATCTGATAAGGAATTCAGAAGATATGTGTGTGTATATGTATGTGTGTGTGTATGTTTATATGTGTGTGTGTGTGTGTGTGACCATGTGGAGCATGTGACCAGATAGGAAAGAAGAAACATTGGGCATATAAATATGACCCTCCAAGAGCTCAGGGAAACCATAAACAGAAGCAATGAGAATACAGACAGTACTGTTGCAGAATTCAGGAAAATCATTCAAGAACAAAATAAGTGCACAGTTAGAAACCATACAAAAACAGCAATTAGAAATCTAGAAGATAAACCCTAAAATTACAGAGATAGATACTACATTGGAAGGACAAAAGTAGAACTTGCTAAAGAATGCATTTCCCAGCTAAAAGACATAAATCCCTTGATGCCAGCTTGTATGAGGAAAAATCAGAACAAAGATTTAAGAAAAAAAGAAAACCTAATAGAAAATTTCCCCTATATCATGAAAGAAGAAAAGATACCCATCCCAGAAGCTCAATGAACCCTATATAGGATAGACCCCAAGAGAAAGTCACAAACACATATCATAGTCACACTTTCCAAAACCAAAGACAAAGAAGGAATCTTGGGAGCAGCTCAGGAAAATGAAATATTAACTACATTGGGCAACCAATAGAACTAAGTTCTTATTTCTGAGCAGAAACCCTGCAGACAAAAAGGCAATGGGATGGCATATACAAAACCCTGAAGGACAAGAATTGCCAACCAAGAATTATATATCCAGCCAAACTGTCTCTCAAATATGAGGGTGAAATCAAGACATTCCCAGACAAACAGAAATTAAGGGAATTTGTAAAAAACAGACCAACCCTATAAGAAAAGCTAGAGGAAGTCCTTCCAATAGAAAAACCCACAACAGAGAACAGCAAATTAAAATCAGGACACTTGAAACCACCACCTATAAACCAAACCAGAAAAAGATTCTCAAAATAAGCTTACAAAAAAAATGTACATAGAGAAATAGGGGAGTTGATCCACAGATCACAGCGGTAACAAACCAAATAGAGGGAATAAAAGTTTTAATTACAAAACTTCCAAATGGAGAGGAAAATGGGCCAATATCTTTACAGAACAGACTGTTCATACTTTGGCAGATAGGAATTTACTTTAGTCTAACCACAAAGAAAATTAACAATCCTTCTAACCAAACTAAGAAAGAAGGAAATCACGAGGGCTTAGTAAGCACAGAGCCAACAATAATGAAGAAAAGAGAAAAAAACACTTGATAACAAAATGAACTCAGCACAGAAAAATATTTTGAACAAAGAGATCATGAGCAACACAATAAAAAACACAATAGAATGACAGCAATAAATTCATACCTATCAGTAATTGGTCTGGTTTTAACAAATTCCCTTAATTTCTGCTTATCTGGAAATGTTTTAATTTCACCATCATATTTGAGGGACAGTTTTGCTGGGTACATAATTCTTGGTTGGAAATT